TGGCATATTAAACAAGAGGAAGAGGAACATTGACAGATATTAATTATGTAAATTGTGACCCAATCTGATTAATTAATAAGAGAAATCTATATGTCTTTCATACTGCACTAGACCTTTTTGGTTTACACCCTCTGTGGATTACATTGCTTTATGCCCACAAGGATAGCTGGAAAAAACTTTCCTGTTTGTTGAAACAACAGAATCCTTGCGAAATTGGCGAAAGTGGCGCTTAATGCTGCATTAATACTGAAAGTTTTAATACTGGGTTAATGCTGGGTTAACGACTCGGCCAGCCTTCAAACACACATAGATACATCATTCATAATGTACAATGTAGAAAAGGCAATCTTTCTTTTTATTAATATTTGTTACATGTACTGGAGCAACTGCATAACTCTTGTAAAATTTGTAAACCCTGACACAAGACTGCACAAATGTACACGCTAATGTTGTAGGGAATACAGGAAACCTATTCATATCTAGGTTAAAACAACAAGTTACAGACAGGAAGCTGTCAACATTGGTTTTAGTTGAAAAAAACGTTTTCTTTAGAAATTGTTTGTTGAAAAACATTAGTGGCCCAGTGCCCCAGCAGAGCGTGCTTTATTTGACAGGTCTGTGGCCCCCAGTGTGAACATCTGGAATTAGCCTGGTTGCCAGACCCATAGCACACTGGACACAAAGTATCTCAGTTTGGCACCCAGGTAAATCTGGAATATGGATAATGTGAATAGGTTTCCCGTAATACCTACAACATTAGCATGTACATTTGTGCAGTCTTGTGTAGTACATTTGTGCATATCGTATCTTAATGCAACAGGAGTTAAAGATTTAAACCCGATATAAGGTCACAAACTTTGTTTTAATCGATAACATAGTTGGTATACTGTACACAATATTGGCCAGGTCACTAGAAGGAAGTGGTCTGAACGCATTGAGCAGTATCTAATCTTTATAAGCTTAGTGGCTTTAGCGAGGAGCACGGCGGTATTCTATGAATGACTTTGAGTTTGATGCCTGTAATCTTCTTCATAATGGGTCGTGTGGAGAGGGAATAGAGAAGCCCTGCCATTGAAAGGATAGATTTTCACGACCATATTATGGTCCGATGGGCCCCCACAAGAAAACTAACATAGCCAAACTGCGTCGCCAACCTGAGAAATAACCAGTAAATAACTACTAGTTCAAAAATTGAAGATTGTTAAATTGCAACTAGGATACATATTTTATTTGAATTCTATCCAGGATAAATTGCATTGACAGGATAGACTGGGACGGTTAGGTAGGTCACCCGAGGCTGACCTCAGCCCTGCCAGTCGTACCTCTGGGAACGTCCCCGGAGGACCTGGGCTAATCTATACCACTATCCGGGCTGGAATAGAAAGTCGGGCTGTTTCCTGCTAAAAGTTTGATACGACGGCCCCTCTAACAAGTAAGGCATATATGATAAATGAGTTTCTCTTTGTGGAGGAAGATTAACTTTCTACCAGGCACCATGGATCGCTGGAAAAATAGTAGAAAACGGCCAAAATAAAGGGAATAGTATGCCGCTAAAGGGTCAGATAGCCCGCTAGAGAGATACAACTCACCGGGAGGAACCCACTTATCTTACATACCACATACCATCACAACAATTGGCCAGTTTGTGTGATTTTGTAACTTGCAATTGTCTTCAATGTATTGGACATCGCACGCTTCAACAACACTGGCTGCATAGAAGAATAATTTAGTTGAAGGAGTTTTTGCCGTTTTGAAGTTTGGATCACCGCGTATCGGAGGGAAGAAAACAACCTTTCGCGGCCAGACTCCCCAGGCCAATTCTCCTCTTCTTTTTGCCGAATTCTACGATCCGTATTTCCGTAGAAAGACATGGTACAGGCTTGGTGAATAGTCTGTTGCTTCGTTCACTACGATAATCATCTTCACAAAAAACCTACACTATACACACACACATTTTACACCCACCAAAACAATATCACACTGTCGAAGGCATGAGACCTCCGAACTCTAGTTGTGTATGAAACCTGAAAATTAGTCTCTAGCCTGCATATAACAAACAATACCCTTTTCAACCTGGTGTGTTACGCCGAAGGGCGGGTATACCGGCTATACTGATATAGACACCTTGTCCATGCCAAATAATAAGGATTTCACCATTGTGTTGCATGTTACTACAAATGTAGGTAGGGGCCATGTGAATATTTGCCTTCGACAGAAGGCTATGAAATCGTTTTTGCACTGTTTTGCAGATTATGCATCGGATAAAGTTTCAAGGCATGGTCCGTGGTTCATGATTTCTGGCAGGCAGGTTGTGTTAGTGATGGGCATTGTGAAGGCCAGAAATGGGCTTCGTGGGGGGTTCTTACGTGACTGGAGCTGACCTTTTGTGTTTGCAATTTTTGTTGTTACCCAGATAACTCAGGAATCCTTAAGTGGCTGTCTATGATTTTCAATGGGCAAGTCGCCGTTGAGAATACGGAGGTCAAGTTCGGATACGGGCCTCGTGGGGGGTTCCCATGTCATTGAATTTGACCTTTTGTGGTGGTCGTTATTGTTGTTAGCGGGATAATTTGAGAATCTGCAAATGGATGTTCACGATTTTTTGCGAGCAAGTTACCGTTGACGATAGCAAGATCAAGTTTGGAAATGGGCGTCGTGGGAGGTCCGTACGTTGCTGTAGTAACACTGATCACTTTAAATTTGGAAAAGACACACAAGCTTGAATAGTCCTATAATGTAATGCAGCTGATTTATAGAATCTCTCCATTAATTATGCAAATTACATCCAGATTTGCATAATTGCCGCATAATTATACCAAGCATCACGTTAGCTACCTACATACCAAAAATCACGACGATCCGTCCACCGGTTCTTGAGTTATCCTCTTTTGAATATTTTCAATCAGATAGCCCAGCTGTTCCTGAGCAAGCCGCTAGGGGGCCCAAGCTCACGCCACTTCTTCCCCAGCAAAAGACCTACCTACCATCCACATTTCGTCACCCCAGCATGTGTAGATGATGAGATATCAAAACCGGAAGTTCAGCTGCAGTACCATAACAAGCCGCTAGGGGGTCCAACATCTAATCATTTCCAGGTCTCATCAAGACCTACCCACCTACCAAATATCAAGATAATCCATCTAAGCTTTCTCAAGTTATGCTGTTGACAGACAGACACACAGACAGACAGACACACGGCCAGGAAAACATAACCTTTGTCAATTCTTGGCGAAGGTAATAAAAGAATGGGGTTCGTGTCAGCCTTGGTTAGTTCGCTAGGTAACTACTGCCATGGATGTAGTGGCGAGCTCTCTGACCTTGTAACCCTCCCACCCACCAATGAACACGCAGTTTTCAGAAAAAAATCCGTAGCTTTTTGACCTTGTGACTCTCCCACCCACCAATCCTGAACGCGCAGCTTTCAGAAACAGTCTGTAGCTTTTTTTCTTGTGAATGTCCCACCAACCAATCAACACGCAGCTTTCAGAACAACCTGTAGCTCTGTGACCTTGTACCCCCCCCCCC